ATAATCTCGAGTTAGAGAAAATAATCTTTAACTGTTCGTCAGTAAAGTTCAAAATTATTCAGATCAAAGTTGTTTGACGATTTATCTTGTCAAGAAGATTATTATAATTGATAAACTAAAACCTTCTTGTTGGTTCAACCTGCCATTATTATTACTTTTAAATAAAAAAAAATCTGTTGTCAATTGGTCAATGTCATCATTGCATTGCACTGATGGGATAGAAAAATAAACAAGCAAAACCTTATTCGTTAGCAAACGTCATATTTATTTAAATGTTAGCAGCACTGTTTCTTGTACTGTTATGTTGGCAGGTTTGACTCTTACAGTACCTAGTGCAAGGGAAAACCGACACTAAGGTGACGAACCTTTTCATTCCGCGTACTTAATTATAACACACTTATGACAATGTCATTCCAATTATACCAAAACATACTTATATTAAAACAAGACACATTTATATCTTAAGTGTACAAATCTTTATATGATTGTCATAGAGTCGTTATGCGAAATTAAAATTCGAACGATTCAAAAATTTATATCTACACGTTTCTGTTACTTACGTCTTAAATTATTTCAATGTATTGGTGTGAAATTAACTAAAAATAAATTGTAGAAACATAATGTGAGGTCGACTCTACATATTATACATTTTCAAAAGCCCATAATAGCTATGAGAAGCAAAATCTATACAAAAAGCACAATTTTAGCTACTCGTATTTTAAGTAGGTAGATCGTCTTAAAATATAAATAAAAGCAGAAACCAAGGTAATGTACCGAAAAGTGATACTACGATATAATAAATATAAGAGGTTCGCAAGATATTCAATTAATCCCGTCTGCGGAATTAATTAAGGAATCCTTGAGGAATATTTTAGTAAACAAATTTTGATGCCCTCTTATACGTTTCGTCTTTTCAGAAATCTTCGCGAACAATATTCATTATGAATTTTCACCCTTAAATCTGAAATACGTACAGTCTTTGTATGATACTTACGCGATTATTATGTAATTTAATTTTCAATTAAATTAAACATTGTAAAACTACAGTTGTGAACTACGCTTAAAAACCAAGTTGTGAAAATATCATAACCCTTTTTTATGGCAGTTTTTTTTTATAAAATTAATTTACTTGATTAAGAGATTTAGTGAACTTGGTAATAATTCAAGTGAACAAATAACAAGACTTACAAAATATTTTCGTAAAGAACTACCGTGCACTGTAATGTGAGCTTTTTTAGTTATTTGGTTTCAGATGATGTATTATTTCCAAAGACTATTTAGAGCAGTTACTATCACTTTAACCTATAAGTCTAGTCAAATGATAATCCTATTTCTGGCGTTTTCAACCTAACCTAAATAGGTACTTTATCCTTTTTGTTTTTTGTTTTGTTTAAACCGATCCACAACGAATCCATTTTTAACTTTGGTAATTTATTACACTAATGTGTTTTGTAATTCACTCTAAACGTAGTGAAATGAAAATGGATTACTTTTTAACTCCCGGAAAAGTGTGGTAGAGTATCAGCCAAGTTTGTAAATCGATTATTTTTTATCAGGACACTTGCACGAAAGGTATTTGCGCGAAGGACACGAGCGCTTTTAAAATCTACAAAATAAAATTTTAAATTGTACAAAATCTACTAAAAAACATTGTTATTAGATACAGATTGATATTGTGCTGTGTACTATCCTTAAATAAATAAATAAATAAAGACATTAGCGCGAACAGGCGAAAAAGTTTCCGTGCACGCAAATCGGCTTTTTGGTGCTTATGTCTTCGCGCAATTTAGTGTCTTTCGAGCTACTTTCTTTCGTGCAAGTGTACCAGAACCGATTTTTTAGTAGATTTAGTAGAAAATTGATTTGTAAAAAATACTGCTCTACTTACTAGACTGTTTCAAAACGTCCTAATTTTATAAATAGGCATAACCTCTTAACATTAACTGAATTAACTTTCATTGCTTGTAAATAAAAAGGTAGATGTATAATTGTGAAACTTAGGTAACTTTAAAGTGCCAATAAATATTTATGGTTAAAGTAAGTAAGGGATTAATGTAAAGGAATTGGCATTTGTATTTAGCTTATTGCACAAAGTGCATGTTTTATAGCGCGATATGATGAAGAAAGGGCAACATAGAATTAAGTTATTTTGATTTATTGAGGGAACATTAAAAACTACGTATTAAAAAAGTCAATGTAGAGATTTTTTGCATTTGGAACAGAAAATGAAAAATATTATGTGCATATTCTTTCAAAAATGAATGTCATCACAAAATTTAAAATAACTGTCTATGTTTTAACAATAGTGCCCTTTAATATACATGGTGTTACTTTAAAATGTGTATTTGACAAACAAACAGACAGTGTAAAAAGTATTTTTGTCTTTTTAGCAATGAAAGACAGACTTCGGAATATTATACCAAATGGACTATGAAGTGTAATGTAGATATTATATAATAAGGAGCCGCTTTTCATGTTGCACATAAACAATTACCTATTGTTAACATACGACTATTAAGTATGTAGTTACGCTAAAAATTAAATATATTGAATTGTAAAATACGAGCGAGAAAAGTTTATTATTTTCAATAAACTACGTGTTACGAAGAATTTCGGAGTTTCATTTACCTCCTCACTAAAAGTCAATTGGATTCAGCAGAATAGTTTATTCGGACGTGATCTTGTTTCATAAAAGTAATATTTCATCAATATTCTAAAAGACGTGCATATTTTGATCCATTTTCTAAGAAACTTAATATTTGAAATCATCACAATAAAGCTTTATTCGTATTATTTTTTTTTTCTGAGAATTAAAACTCTTCAAACAAAACTGTGAAGTACCTACTCCTTTCTCGTAGCGTAAAGTAAAAAGACAATTTATAGAAGAACTGTTCAACATTATCCTGCTTTCGCCTCCGAGATTTATTTTACCATGTAGTACCCCTGTACGACAACCCAATCCGCACACAATATTCAGCGTAGTAGTATTAAAAAACAAAAGAGCGGGCAACCCCACCCCTACCACGCTGTGGGCTCGGTGTCCGAGCGGTCTCATTCCTTTGTGCGCACGCGCAACGACCGCACGCAGTATAAGAAAAATGCTTAAGTGACGTTACCAGGACNATAAGAGAGAAAACATTTTTGCTGTGTAGGCGGCAAAAATCACAAACGCTATGAAATGTCAAGTTGACAGATCACCAATTTCCATAGAAAGTGGTGCCAGCTGGTGTATGAAGAAGGTAAACTAGATGATAAAGCAGAGACAATTGGTAAGTTTTCTTATACCATAGACTAAAATCAGGCAAAGATCATAGACAGCTCTCTCAACAGAACGCTGTGTTTTATTAAGGCACATAATGATCCTGAAAATAAACAGCTATCGACTATGGAGGTGTTTTAAGATGAACCATTTCCAACAAAAGTCCCATGCGCTCGGAACACTTTGAATGTTACGGTCGCCTATTTTTCCGAAATATCCGATTATATGACAGAAACGTTACTAGAGAAATTTAGAAAGGTTAATTCTTAATAGTAAACAGCCACTTTTTTTCCAAAAGTCTTCAGTTTAATAAGGGAAACTGACCAGCATAGTCGAATCGCCATTCGTGACGAAAATGTGAGCTTTTACACGTCTCGTCAAACAACTGACTAATTTGAACACTCAAAATATGAAATAAACAGGTCCAACGCTACAAAATTCTTGCTTGGAATCTAAGCACTTCTTTTGGTACCCATATATTAAAATTAAATGCGTGAACAGCGATTTATGTAGCCAGAAGCAACTGTCGATGCGGTCAAAAACCATGCTTTGGAGGTGCCTCAAGCTGAGTGGAAAAAATGCTATGAAAAGTGTTTCGGACACATTAAAAAGTACATAAATCATGAAAGACAATACCAATAAAGGCAATCAATACCATTTTAATAATAAACTACTTTGTTTTCATAGTTAGGCTCACAACTTAAATAGTGTCCCACGTATCATGCCTTACAACCTAAATTATTTTTAAGGTCATTGCCAGCATTATGCTTTTGCCATTTCCTATTTAAAAAAAAAAAAAAAATCGTACAAAAACACAGATAAGGATAGATGCAGCATGTGTCAAAATTTGTATGAAGCCGAGCGTGCCACTTTTTAAACGTCATTAGTGTCATTTTAGCGAATTTTAGTGATTGCCGCAACGTAAAAGTAATCGTATCATCGTACTGCATTCGCAAAGTCATCGAATGATATCGTGTGACTCGATTCAATAATTAATTAATTCCGATAAAACTGATATTTTGTTAAATTTATAGCTAGTCTGACTGTGGATTAAAATAATTATGTAGCGGTAGACGTTATTCTACAATTCTACATTATTAATTTGCAAATAATATTTTTGTTGTGCCTAATGATTATGAAAGTAATGACCGTTATTCCATTATGTTAAATAGTACTACTAGTAATTCATACTTAATTCCATACTTTTAAATATCCTAGTAAGTAAATGACCTACTTTCATAAAATAAAGACTATTTTACTCAAGCTTTTTATTTTTAATAATTGTAAAAATGCGTAGTTTTGCCAATACGTTTTTTTTCATAAAGCTAAGTCAGGTACCTAGTTTTGAAGATATTTCTAAACGACAAAATCTCGGGCGTCGTATACATAGTAGTAATAGTGTATACTGCGATCACTGATCTAACTTGTTTTATAATTCTTCTTCTGCTACTTTATTCTAATTAATTACATATTTGTTACTCGTTGCTGTTAATTACAATTCTCAATCCGTAAATAATTTCTTCTCTCTACCGTGTTCGTACTACTGTCCTCGTAAAATCATCGTATCCGATTGTTGTAATCGGATTACATGAACATCACTCGACCATGTATGTCCATTTGGACATATCGGAATGGCACGCTTTGACTAGCAACTTGCTGTATCTACTCTAATCCATATCTGTGTACAAAAAGAATTGAAAAATGTCAAAGCTCACGTCACGTAACTGTCAATGTCAAAATTGCTAACCAATCCAACCAACTCGCCGAAATTATTTCAAGAAATCAGGAGAGAATTTTATGAACGTGTGTAGAAAGAGGTAGTTTAAAAACAATGGATTACAAATATGAACAGACTAGTGAAGTAGAAGCTCTAGATTCAATTTATTGTGGTGATATGCAAAGTAAGTTTTGGAATCGGTGGACCTAAGTTTATGTTCTCACGTTGATTGCATTCTTCAATTTGCATCGTGTTTTCAGTTTTAGAAACCAAACCCTTTCATAAGTTCAGCATACCTATAAAGTCTGAAGGATACGATGATGGAGAGGGTCTGGCGTGCAATCTGATATTTACATACACGGCGAAGTATCCCGAGGAGTTACCAATCATTGAACTAGACAATGAAGATAATTTCGACGATTCTGTACACAAAAATGAACTACTTGAACATTTAACACAACAGGTAAAACTAAAAACTCTTCGGATTAAGTTGTTGCTGAATCTATAAAGATTTCATTTTCTTTATCTTTATTTTCATTCACACTAAAATTTATTTTATTACAGGGTACAGAAAATCTTGGCATGGTGATGATATTCACATTAGTATCAGCCGGCCAAGAGTGGCTCAATGAGAAATGGGATTATATAAAAAAAGAAAGGGAAGAAAGAATTCTAGCAAAACTAAAAGCTGATGAAGAAGCTGAATTGGTTTGTATTAGTCTTTATTTGTCTATGAGAATAAAGCGGTAAAATCTGAATTAAAAATTTACCTAATTTCTAATGCTAAGTACAATAAATACTGCAGTTTACTTATTGTGTTCAAAAACGTATGATCTTCAGCTGACAATTACCTATACTGTTTCCTCAATAACTGTCTTATTAAAACTCATTATTTTGATTGCAGAAACGTTTTGAAGGTACCAGAGTAACTGTTGAATCGTTTCTAGCATGGAGAAAGCAGTTTGAAATTGATATGGGAATACCTGCAAGGAGAGAAAGGGAAGCTAAGGGAAAGGATAAGTTAACTGGCAAAGAGTTGTTCTTGAGAGATACTACACTTAACGAATCTGACTTGAAATTCCTGGATGATGGTAAGAAAATCTTATTACTATTGATAATGTAATAAAAACTACTACTTAACATAATTACTATTGATGTTCTTCTATTGAGTTCTTCCTAGTACTGTTCCTCAATGGCATTTCTTCATGATATTTTTTTCACTCTTACCATTTTCCTCAATATACACTTCAGCTTACACTCATATCTTACAGGTGATGCAGTCAAAGTGGACGAGTCTCTATTCCAAGATCTAGATGATTTGGATATCTCCGATGAAGACGATGAAGATTATGTTCCTGGACAAAGTGGCAGTGAGAGTGATTAGCACAAAGCTACTCACTGCGTCAATGGACAGCAGTGACAATTCTGCAAAGACAGTATAAATATAAGTGGCTTATTGCATCTCTGTGTGCATTTTAAAAGCTATGAATCACATGAATAGCAATTATTTGTATTAATTGCAAAGTCTATTTGTGCCTCAAACCGAGTTTTTACATACCTAGTGATTAGGATCACTGGAGCAATAAAATATTATTTATTTAAATTTTTATCCATCATTAGCATCAGTTACACACAAACAACTGTACATATTGGCCCTGAGATTTCCATTGTTACTACTGTAGATTGTATGCATAATGTTACTGGTTAACTAAATACTCTAATATTATTGTTTACAATAAAACAGAACATACTGTAGAATAGTTTTTATTTACACTTTGTCACTATAATAGGTATATACAACAAACAAGTGAAATAAGAAAAAGCTAACTGGATTGCTTAAAAAAACATTAACTGCTTAAGTAACTAAATGGCAGGTTGACATTTTGCTAGTGATGTGTACAACAACTCAACAACAAACTTACATATTTCTGCATAAAACACCAAACACCATACTTCATCAGCAAAATCAATAGGAGTGAGTAAAACATGTCAACATCAACAAAACAACTTGAGCAAACAAAACATAATTTAATAATATTGTAGGTGCTTACCTATGAAATTATCGATATTTTGGCATAAGAGTAATATTAATCAACTGGCTATGTTAAAAGCCGATTAAAAAGATCACATTTTGTTGTAAATTAAATAATCAAAAACAGTTCTTGTCATTTAATGATAAGATTGTACAGTATCAATATTTAAAGTTGCTGTAATTTAATTCTTGTTCTCAGATTTTTTTATTTATTTATGTGTAATATTGATTCTTCACACAAAGCTATAATTTCATAGTTAAGCACCTTATACCAATGACCTTACTTCAAATGCACTTAGGGTTACTAGGGTGACTAAACTAAACATCAATACAATGAATTTATATAATGAGTAATATTACAAAGTATATTTACAATGTGCAGTCTTAAATCAATGAGTGAATAATTAATATCTATAATTAACCACAGATATGTAATATTTTAAGTAAATCATGTTTTAAGTATTTTAATCTGTGCATAATAGAAATCAGCCTTTAAATTATAATAATAGAACATTAGCTGAAAAACAAAACAATTTAAGGATGGATTACAGGGTGTCATTTCAATTAGAAGTCAACCAATCACCCTGTATTTATAAAATATTATGACACAAATCCAATATTTTAGGTAAATATTAAGTTTATAATACGTCAAAAATTTCGATAAATATTAACACTCACAACAATTATTATTTGGGCCTATTTATAAGTGCTTCAATCAGCACATTTCATTTTTTAGTTAATTATTTTAAATGGCAACTTTAAATATTAATTTACAAAAGGCATGTTTTAACCTCGTAAGTCCCCGCGTACTTGTACAAGTACAAACTAAGCATAGTAGTTCAGACCTGACATTTAAACTACATAGCAAGAGTAACTGCCTAATGTACTTACCCAAGTACAAATTTTTCTTTCCCCATTTACCGGGTAGTTTTTTTACAATGGCAAAAATGATACGACCATACTCATTCAATACTCTATGGTCAATTCCGCCACGGTAGACAGGTAACGTCAACTGTCAGTGTCAGTGTATTTTTTTCGCAAAATGGTCACGCGGTCGGATTGCCGGCCGGCAGGAGGATAGTTTATCTGTTTATATCAAAGTAATCTTTTGTTTTTTGTCTTGTTTTTTAAATGTATCAGTAAATATAAATTATAGTTTCTATAAATTAAACAAAATTTAAAAAGAAACTTAGTATTTTAGGAGGTTCATGAACGGTCAAAATAATTTGTACTTGATATAGTACGTTAGGCGTTGGTTACATAAATAATTGTATGAAAGTTGTATTAGGTATGAAATTAGCGATTTTTTTTCTTCAATGTTCATTACTATGTAATTTATTTCATAGTATAGCTATATCCATCATTCTTTTTTTTATTTGAAATTTGACTTCAAGGGCTTACTTTTGTGTATAAAATGTTAAACTTAATTTTATTTTTTAAATTAGAATTTAATCTTCAAAGACAGCTCGTCCTAATTGTCATCCGTTTCCATTAAACAAAAATAAATATATTTTTATACAGATACCATTTTTTTTAAAATTGTCTTATTTTTTTTATAGCTTAATGTTGTTTCAATCTATCTACAAAATTTCATAAAATTTAAATTTATGCTTTTTTAAAAAAATCACAAAAAATTAGTATGGAAAAAATAATTTTGGTGAAATTCTTCATATAAAACGCTAAGGCCAAATAATTTTGTCTTAAAGACTGAATTTTATAATTATTGCTTACTTAAGTGACGTTTAGAAGAAAAATATGATTTATTTTAAATATTTAAATAAAACCTTTATCTTAATTAGATTATTTTTTTACACTGTATAAAAAGCCTAACGTACTTACAGGAGTACAAACTATTTTCAATATTTTTCTTTTAAAACAGGTGCTAAAGATGCTAAACTTACAGTAAAAAATACAAAACATAAGGTAACGCTTAAAAAACTATGTAAACCCGTCAATACTTTATCTCGGTCTGAAGCACATTTCTTAGTTTGTACTTGGTATAGTACATCCGGCAGATATGAATACTGCTGTTAAAAAAACACAGGACTTACGAGGATAAATATAAAATAAAGTCAAACTTTAACTTTCGTTCCAAACAACTTCAGGATAACAGAGTTTAAACAAAATAAGATTGAAAACAAATCATAACTATCAACAATGTGTATATGAAAACTTTAGTTTACAATAAAACAAGCAATGCAACATGCATTGCATTCCGCAGTAGCTACTCGTACATTGTTTAAATATTAACAGAAGAACAGAATATTTCCATTTCCCTAAAATAATCGAGAAGTCACAAAATTAACATTACCTATAAAAATATAAGTCAGAAGGCCATACCAACAAGAGGGCTTGCTGTAAAGCAAAGTTCCCAAACTTTTTTCTTGTGTACTATTAGAAACAAACTAAATGTTGTCACTCTTGATTCGTTCCCAACTCCTCTTCACGCAAGATGTGATATAAAAACATATGTATAGGCCAATTACTATCTGACGAAGATAATTTATTATGGATCATTTTTAACGAGAGGAAAGTTCAATGAACATGAAGACTTGTCCAAAAATATAACATTGTGACCGATTAAGTTAAGAAGACTTACCCTACGTTAAATGACACCATTACATAGCACTGACAACTTCTATTGCGAAAATATTCAACATTTGTACCTAAAATATTGTTTTATTTTAATTACAATACATGTATAGGCTAAGACACGATTCCGTGTGGCGCTGGTCCTAATGGCACAGGCTTTATGTTCGCGTCGATACTGAATTTGATAAGAACGCTACCTATCTAAGCTTGTGTAAAAAATATATGGATCGGTCAATTCGCTGACTCGAGCCTAACCAAGTTGAGTATCAAACCGCCATAACTTTGCTTCGGTTCGGTCTGCTGCGCGCTTATGGAAGCAGTTAAAATTATACGACGGCACATCAGACTGTATACTTTTGTTGCAAAATCGCTTCTATTATTATTTTAAAAGATGCCAAGTGTTTACATTCTGTCGCCTGTACAATGGGACCGAAGCAAATTATGGTGCCGATTGGGCGTATAACAAGACTCGATACATCAGTAGAGCTACGACGGCATTTATAAAGCTGGTTCCGAAGTTTATCATCGACCGATGAATTATCTCGGCTGAGAAGAAACGCTAGCGAGGATGCGGTGACGTGACTCGTGAGATTCCTCGTGGGGTCATCTGATCGAGACGACATGATGAGGTTGAAGTGAGACCGCAGACACCTCTGAATGCTCGGATACCTCGAGACACCTATTGGGTTAGCTTCTAGGCTAAAGATGGCTGGCCGAACGACAGACTCCCTTCTATGAGATAATGGATGTAACTGTTGGAAGAATGTATTATTTAATTATACATAACAAAGCCTGTCGTTCATCCAGCTAGACTAAATATCAATCAATTTCTCCGATTACATTTTGTCTCTGTATTTCTGTTTCTTCATAAAAAGTAATGTCCTAAAATAGACTTCAATCATATGGCCATAAGTGTCAGTTTCGTTTACCACTGTCAGTTTACTTGAGGCGCTGAGTGACGTTGGCGAGCGCGACGGCGAAGGCCTGCAGCGCCGAGAACGGATACTGGAAGTCCAGGGTGTAGGCGTTGCCGTCGATGCGCCCGAACTGCATCACCTGTACAAAATAAATTGGCGTTATCGTCACCACAAGTTTATAAATCGTCATCGTCACCACAAGTTTAGACATTACGCACCTACGGTGCAATAACGTCACTTACGCAATTTTTTTCTAAACTTAATTGAATCAAAGTAAACCAAGTAAAGAGGTAGATTTGGAGTATTTTCTCATACTTAATCAGTTGTTTTGAAAAAAATTGCATAAGTGACGTTATTGCACCGTATGTGCGATTAGACAAAAAAGAAATATAGGTCAAATCCAGACTCCTTCTTTCGTATCTTCAGCAGACTGACAAAAACGGCGGTTCATAATACCCCTCTGTCTATTCTATAGCATCTGCAGTTAACTTACATAAACTACACAATTATTCACGTAGTAACTATAGAATTACCGCCTTACTAACTCGTTGAACACGTTGTTTTAAAGTGTCGTTAACTGTGGAAATGTCACTTTAAAACAGTGTTCAACAATCGCGTAACTTTTTATTAGTAAGGGGTTAAAGCCTTGTCGCGAAATACCAGTTCATGTTGATCAATAGAAGTGTTGATTTTGATTCGACACGTACGCTGGCTCCGCACTACACTAAATAGCGAGAGCTGGTTGTCCCGTTATCTATTTTGAAATTTGTATCACTATGTTTAAAAATGGGTAAAATTAAAATAACTGGGGCAGGTCAAAATAAAGTTTGGGACTTGGATACTTATGCCCGTTTTCACCATCAAACCCTAATTTTTGAGTGACCCCTATGGAAACAAAATTCCTGCTATGTGTTACCATAGGGGTCACTTAAAAATTAGGGATTGATGGTGAAAACGGGCATTAGGCAAGTGCCTAACTATGTGTGAAGGCGGCAAGATATCAACTATGTGTGAAGGCGGCATTTAGTGACCTGTTTCCCATGGTACTCGATCTGGAAGTTCTTGGCGGACTCCTGCGTGACGCGGCCGCCGAAGTCCAGCTGGTACACCTGGCTGTTCTCGTTCCACATGGGCGCCTTGTTGTGCATCACCAGCTGCCGCCGCCCGCCCGCCGGCGCCGCCACCCCCGCGCGCTTCAGCTGTCAAAACGATCAAATGACGTCAGCCAATCAGACCGCGATATCTGTGTTTGTAAGCAATCTATACGAATGAGGGCTATCGTTTTAGCGCTCACCAGTTAGCGCCACTGTAGAATAAGGTCCTGTCACTTGCTAGTAGCGAAGACAGTGGCACCAACTGGTGAGCGCTAAAGTGGTAGGACGACTATCGCATTTGCACTCATCAAGATGGCGCCACTGTAGAGTAAGGTCCTGTGAATCGCCAGGGGTGCCAACTGTTAAGTATAAAAACGATAGCCCTCATTGATTGACCAGTCATTGGCAGTATCATAAGCAGGGTACTCAACTAGCCGTGTAGCATGTAATGTATCAGATACTGTATCAAGTGAGTACATAGGCACGAGCCCGCTGCGAGCTGCTCGCTCGAGGTTCGCAGGGAGATCGCAACGACCCGCCGAGTATCGGTATCACTGCGAGCACAAAGGAGCTAGCAGCCAGATACGCGATGACCGACCGTGGACGAGCCGTAATCGCTTGAAGGTTGGTTACGTTACATGCTACGTTACGTGCTACATGGCAGGTGAGTACCCTGTCATAGTTTGACCGTAGAATCATGTACGAGACGTCACAATGAACGGACGGGCGGAACTTTGTGTGCTTGTAGGTGTTTAGTTTTAATAGTCAACAAAATCGCTATGATAGCTTCTGTTACGGACCGATGGATAAGTCTACTTAACTTGAGTTACTTGACTTCCTGAGCAATCTTATTGAACCATTGATGAACATAAAGTTGCCAATTTATTTGTAAAAAAGATAGCCAGAGAAATCACAAAATTGAGTTGTGCAGCATGGCAGAGGCGGAGTGCTTACTTAAAATCTTCTGTAATCTCACATCAGTAGCGGCGTAAGGGGGGGGCGGTGGGGGCGGTCCGCCCCGGGTGCCAAGCATCAGAGGGTGACACAAGTCGCGCAGATTAGTACTCACTGGCACATCTGTATGGCAAATCTGCGGTCTATGTCATGATACGGGGGGAGGGGGGCNCAGAGGGTGACACAAGTCGCGCAGATTAGTACTCACTGGCACATCTGTATGGCAAATCTGCGGTCTATGTCATGATACGGGGGGAGGGGGGCGGGATTGTCTTTCAGAAAATCCTGGGGATACCAGGGGGGGTGCCTTAGGACTTATGACCAGGGGGGGGGCGGGGTGTAACCGCCCCGGGTGCCAACCCATGCTACGCCGCCACTGTCTCACATGTCTGCCAATTACATAATTGGGTCATTCCATGACAAATGTTACCGAGGGTGAAAAACTAAATATGTTCTTTTCGCATTAAATCTGATGAATTTTGAAAGTAAACATTCCAAATTATAATGTGCAACAAAAAAAATCTGCAAGAAACAAGTAATTTTTAAGTTATTAGTCTTCAAAGTCTATACTTAAGTCAACTGTCTGAATGATCATTTTCTCTCTAATTATTGGTAATATGATTAAAAAAAAAACTATCAATCTGTGAAACGTTTTGCCACTATATGATTTGAGGGTATTTATCATAGTATTGGTAGATAGCGCCATAGTCCCAAAAAAATTGATAATCATCAAGTTTTAAGTGTGTTTTCTTGTTACTTCGGCGATGTAACACCCGAAACAAAAAAACAGGTATTTGTTTTATTATTGTACCTTACACATGGATTAGGATAACAATATTTGGTAAAAGTAAGGTCATGGTAGTAATGATTTCAAATACTAACTAATATCTGAGCATGATACTAATTTAGTATGTTTCTTTCTTGATTAAAAACTGTAACACCCGAAACGTTTCGGGTATTACATTTTTATTTATATGTCGATAATGTGTGTATATTGCTTGGAGAAGTCAAAAAGTATTACTGTGAGTGTCCTTCGACCTCCCACTAGCGCTGGCGTCGGAAAAGGAGTCATATTTCTCTATTTAAGATATTTTTGAAATGTCGACTTAACACTAAAATTAAGGTATTGCTAAAAAGTCTCGATGTTTGACATTTCCATTAAATATCGTAATTAGAAATTAAAGTAATGCTATTTCAAGCCAAAAACAATAGAAAAAGCTATATTCTGAGGAAAAATTAAACTTGAACTTTGTATATTTTTTAAGAAAAGCTGCTTCGTAATTTCAAACCAGAATTCGCTCTATTTGTGTTTATTTGTTGTACTCCTTATTTTGTAGTACCTAGAGACTAATAAAACACCGATTTTATCGATAAAACGCGTTGCATTTTCGTACTCGTAACACCCGAAACAGAACCATTGTAACACCCGAAACAAAGAAAAAAATTATAAAAAAATAGTAAAACGTTTTATGTAACAGTGATTGTATGTTACATGGTTTGCAAATTTCATACTTTAGAAGTCCTGTAAGTTTTAGGTATGATTCCTTAAGAAAATTCGCTAAATTTCGAGTAAATGCAGCAACAGTCAGAACATAGAGGCAAAATCTCGTAACGCCCGAAACGCACACTTTTCGAGTCATATTTTCGTTATCCTACATTCTAAGCTGCACAAACTTTATTATTTAGATAAAACAACTAAAAACGGACAGATTAAGGCACTAATATTACTAAAATACTATTTCAAAATACAAGAAATTGTTGAATATGTGTGTACGAACGTAACACCCGAAACGATGGAATGACCCAATTGTAAAATAAAATTATTTGCAAACCAATGCAAGCTTTTATAGCTGCCCATCCCTGTGCCTTGGAATGGCTAGCACCACCCTAGTTAAAGCACTGTAGAAAAATAGTGTTGAATACCTACGTAATTGGCTATTTTTAGGGGCTTATTCCACAATTCCCCATTGACAATCCCCGTCAACGGGGAATAGTGAACTTTTTGTTCACTAATCCCCGTTAACGCCAATTGGAGCTTATAAAATTTATTATGGGGAATAATGAACTATAAAGTTAATTAATCCCCATTACGTTAAAAATAAAATCATAATATAACGGGGATTAATGAACTTGTTAGTTCATTATTCCCCATTATAAGCTCAAATGAGGGCTATCGTTTTTATACTTAACAGTTGGCACCCCTGGCGATTGACAGGACCTTACTCTACAGTGGCGCCATCTTGATGAGTGCAAATACGATAGTCCTCCTACCACTTAAGCGCTCACCAGTTGGTGCCACTGTCTTCGCTACTAGCAAGTGACAGTACCTTACTCTACAGTGGCGCTAACTGGTGAGCGCTAAAACAATAGCCCTCATTGGCGTTAACTTATAACGTTTAAGTTAACGCCAATGAGGGCTTTTTGTTCACTACTCCCCGTTGACGGGGATTTGTCAATGGGGAATAGTGGAATAAGCGTTTTAGGCCTCAAAATTAATAGAATGAAGATGAATTCTGTCTCTCTCTGACCTTGTTCCTGAGCTGCGCCTTCTGGAAGCTCTCGAGGTCGCGGTAGTTCTTGCTGTGCAGCTCGCTGCAGGCGCCCGAGTACTCGTCGTCGGAGCTCTCCGACGGCTTCTTGTTTCGTCTCCGGTTCAGCAGCGGCGAGTTAAGTAGTTGTCTGTAAAATAGGTGTGAAGCTTTTGAGTTGATGACGTGTCAGACATCATGTGCATTGTTATTAGGCGGTTTTATAAGCGTAGTTAAAGCATGGTCCATGAGCACGTAGAATTTTGTCCAATGACCCCAAGCTACCCATCCTTATCGCTCGCGCGTAATTATGTTGCTGTCGCGCTCGCACACTCACTGCGGGCGCCCGTCGCACAGTCGCGACAGCAATATAATTACACGCGAGCGATAAGGATGGGTAGCTTGGGGTCATTGGACAAAATTCTACGTGCTCACGGACCAGGCTTTAGGGAAAACTAAAAAAAAGAAACAAAAAAAATGACCTGATGAGAGCCGTTTTCCACCAAAGTACGTACGGCATAGCGGATAGGTTTTTCACTGAAGTGGAGCAGAGCGGAAATGTACTCGGAAATGTGCTGAGATGTCTTCTCATTCCCACTCCTCTATCGCACTTTTCTTTTACGCTCTTCAACCATTTCCATTGAAGCTGATTGGAAATGAGACGTGTAACGAACATCTATTATGGTCGCGTCGCATCAACCTGCCAAGTGTTTTTGTTAACAACCCAGTTACGGTGGCAACTCCAGATCTGACACTTGATATTTTTTTGTAAAAATATCTGTTTTGTTCAGCGGTGGACGTCCTGTGGGAGAAATGATGATGATGATGAATTGAACTCACCGTATGGGCGAGGCGGACGAGTACCGGTGCCGCCTGGGCGGGGGCGTGGCGGCGGCGGGCGGGGCGGGGCGCGCGCGCGCGGGGCGGGGCGAGGCGGGCGCGGAGCTGCTCTCGCGGGCTCGCCCCGACCGCGACGCTAGCAGACGCAGCGCCAGCTGCTCTAGCGAACCTGACGCAGCGGTTACGCTCCGTTACCAATTTACATGTTGCATCATATTATTATACTATAGACCAGTCTTTCCCAAAGTGGGCGATAACGCCCCCTTGTGGGCACTGCAGGCTTAAAGGGGGGCGGTAAGAGACCCAGAAAAAAATCGGGACGTTGTGTAGAGGCTTGGGAGGCGTCATCTACTAGGAGGACTCTTAGACATCGACTGAGCTCGACTCTTGACTACAACAAAAATGGGGGGCGCTAAAAATATTTTATTCTCAAAGTGGGCAGTAGACTAAATAAGTTTGGGAACCACTGCTATAGACCTAAGGCTGTCTATTAGGCTTAGAACATAACTGAGTAAATCCCTGCGGTAGCGAAACGGAAGGATATATTTTTGTTACATCATAACATCAGCTATAGTCTGGTCCGTGAGCACGTAGAATTTTGTCCAATGACCCCAAGCTACCCATCCTTATCGCTCGCGCGTAATTATGTTGCTGTCACGCTCGCACACTCACTGCGGGCGCCCATCCCACAGTCGCGACAGCAATATAATTACGCGCGAGCGATAAGGATGGGTACCTTGGGGTCATTGGACAAAATTCTACGTGCTCACGGACCAGGCTTTACAACGCGTGCAGATCGCCATCGCCGGCGCGATCAAAGGCAAATGGCAGGTCACGCCACCTGTCACTGGCCTTTGATCGCGCCGTGATCGATGATGGCGATCTGCACGCGTTGGTGTGGTTGAAGCTTTACGGGCTCAGCGCAAAACTGAGTACGTCCCTGAAGGAGATGCGATAGGGTGTGTTTGTGTTACGTCAAATGTCAGCGAGACTTCAACGCCCCTAGACAGTTGTAATTCCAAAATCGCTTCACTCTGGGGTTTTTTTGTACAATTTACTTTGCTCCATGAAGTGATTTAGAAATCAAAACTGTGACGAATGTTAATTTGTCTCATGCTCCACAGATGTGCTTCAGACGTATATACCGTGACAATTCTATTACGAAACATTTGATCCCTCCCAAAAAACATCATCGCCGCAGAGACTTACTCAGTTACACGCTTTTGCTTGTACCTAAGCATTCAGTATCTAACAAGTCTTTATGTACACGCAAGTGAGCACAGCAGTATTTCGAAGTCCTACTCAGCGAAGCTAGATCAAGGTTGGCGCTACCAGTAGATTAGTCTCTATTCCTTGCAGCAAAATTATATTGAAATCGGAAAAGGCTATAGAAGTTTCAAAACAAACGATAGTGACAGAAGGGCCAATCAGAGAAGCCGTGCTATTTTGGAAATCTTAATTAGCTTCTAATATTTCACTCATTCGATATACCTACATCTAGTGCTAATTTTCCACACTGGCAAGTGACGTTTTATGACACTTTTTTTACCGTGGAAAGCGTGTCTGTACAAGTGTTATTTCGTGGGGGTAGTCGAACAATCTCATGCTCTAGTGTCGTCTCTCTTACTCTGTATGATGCTCGGTGCTGTCATCTTCTTCATTCAGGTGACCAGGGGTGGAGAGCGGTGCAAGTATTTTTAATGGAATGTGATATTGAACGCTTCGTAAATTATGGGATCACGAAATAGAAACTTACTGTTTTTTATCTATTATTAATCAATGATGGATGAAAGAAAACTATAATTCAGAAAGTCACATAAGGTATTTTGTAAGTTCTAGTATAAAAATAAACCCAAACGCATATTAAATTCTATCGGAAAAATTTGGATCTAAAATCTACTTTAAACGCCCTAAAGCCACCTCAGTATCAGAGGTTCAAGCAGTTGATGTCGATATGATGGTCTTTTCGATAGGTCGGTAATATGTATTGATTCCCTGCAGTCACCTTTGAATATATGAATTATCTTAGCCAGTTTCTTTTATCGAAAATTTCGAGATACCAATTCAGCGCGTTCAATATCCCTCCAAAAAACTCCTCACCACCCTTCCACCCAGAGCAAACGCGAAGCTCCGTGCGTGCGAGTTAGCAAAGCGTCTACTACTAACTATAATACTTGCTGTAGTCGGAATCGCTATCGGCAGGCGGCGCGGGCGCGGGCGCGGCCGGCGCGGGCCTCAGCGCGGCGCACGCGGCGCAAATGTATGGCGGCGCGGTTGAGCGGTCGTAGGGAGCGACTAGGCGGCATACAGTGCAGACTGGGTAGTCGCGACGACTGCGGCGTGTGCTCTCTTCGGCGCTTGTGCCGCTGCGGGAAAAGTAATGTAAGCGATAAAATTATAATCTGTGACATCATAGACAAGATTGCGGCGACCGGAACGTTTTTTTTACCACCCTCCACCCTTCCCCGCACACCTACAAGTCCTACAACCCGAACGAACGCACGCAGACGCTGCTCTTGCGTCAAAACATCAAAAGTCTGAAAAACCAGCTGCTTTCTGGGACCTCTCCTCCTCACCTCACAATCTGGTAAGTCCATCGCTTCACCAAACAAGTAAGGAAGCTCGAACACGCTAGTGGATAATATCACAGAAGATGACGCGCAACCTTCAATCTATGTAACGCTGCCCAAATAGTTCAATGCTACGATACATTCTCTTTTCCGCTGTGGACGGAATAGTAAGTTAAAAATTGGACACATAAGTGGTTATATCTCCAAGTTCATCGATCCAACGCGTCATCCTTGGAGCCCATCTTTCAACTTTATTTATCGTAGGTATTGCCTTTAGCCATTCGATCATAGAGTAGCGACTACATCCTCGTATAAGTATTTAAATTCTTGTTAGATTACGAATAAGAACATCAGTTTCTTTATGCAAGACTGAAACGCTTCAACTAATGGACCACAAGTAAATGAAAATTAAGAGCGTTGTCACATTTTTCATGCAGAAATCGAGAATTTGGCAGATTTCGAAATGATTTTAGTCATATAATTTATTGTTTAGCTTGTTTTGACTTATATCATCGTAATTATCATACGTTTTTACGGAATGTCTATTGACAAAATCTCGTTCAAATTGGATTTTTGCCTACGAAAACAGCGAATTTCGAAAGCCCGATTTCCAGGTAACTCGCGAAGGCACAACTTTGAACTAATATTACAACAAATTTATTTCTAAGTAAGAAGATAGAATGTATTCATTAGAATAGGCATACCCTGAAGAAGAAAGTGTATTGAGAAAATTTTGATGTTTCATTCATTAAAATGCATTTTTATCATGTCTAAGATAGTCAAAATTCGAGAAAATTACTGCAAGAAAACAGGTCACATCTCATAATCTAAAAGTCATTTGGCAACATAAACTACTTTATACTTAAGAAGAAACATAGTACTATTATTGTGTGAAAAAGAAAAAATATCTATCTTCAATCTTCAAATGAAAAATTAATTTGAAAATACTATAAAATCGGGTGCATCAAATGGCATAAATCAGTCGTGCTTTGGCACTCGTAGACGCCGGGTCTATGTCAGTTGACTGCCCACTGACGTATATGCGTCACGCGTGATTTTTTCGTAAATTGTAGTATGATTGAGTACTTTTGATCCGCAAGTATTTTTAATTTATTTGTTTAGGTAAATCGGACTTGTAATTTCTTTCTTTTCAAACTTTTTATTATTTTACTTACAGAATATGGGTAGAATAGATAAAAGATATTATTATGGTATCTGTTTGGTCAGGAAAAAATAAATGACTAATAAAAATTTTAACAGGGTGTCAAAACATTAGTCTATGCTATTGTGTTTCTACCAACATAAAATATACTCTTCCTTACTAATAAAAGTTGAATAGCGTCTGTATGGTCACACAACGCTTCGTCATGTTTTTCCGAAAGTTCAATTACTGACGACTGAATGAAAGAAATTGGTGCGTAACTATTCATCTGATATTAAACGTTTAGTAATAAAGGGGTAGGTCAGGTAAATGGCAAATCCACCAGCGGTCGCTCGATGACACTTAGACAAATAGTTTTATAAAACGTCAACTAAGTTGGTTAGGTATTTGTATTGTAGATACTTATACAAATGAACGTATAAAATGAGTTTATTTTTAAAAGTATAGGTACAGGGTGGAAACGATAAGTGATTTCACTTGATTTTTAATTATACAAGATATCGAGAAACTTTTTACTGTTCCTGTAAGTGCTTCATGAGCTCTTTAAAACAATAACAATAAATAGGTCAAAGAATAAACTGGATCTATGCGAAAATTCAATGTTTCCGAATTTCATACTAAATACTAGGGCACTATTTAAGTTGTGAGCCTCGACAACATAACGTGTTGTTAGACGACATCTGATACTTTTAATGAAAAGTTTGACATTTTTTACTACAATCTTATTCAAAACTTTTTATCATTTGAGCACGTTTTGTATTATTAACATTGAATTGAAAATTATCTTGACTACGAAAACATGGAATTGACTTGCGGAAATTTTCGCGCGAAGATTTATTATGACTTTCGACGTGGTTAATCAATACAAAACTGAAGCAGTCAGCTAAATTTCACTTTTGGTGATAAAGATAATGTCCTTTACCATTGTAAAACGATAGTTTAAGAGGTATAATATTGTATGTCATTGGCTCACCAGTGAACTTTGCGAAAGTCGTCTAAAATTACTAATAGTGGCGGAAAACATTGATGTTGTCAGAAAAATGGAAGAGAAACCTCGTCATGTGATATATCGTAGGATTGAGATAATCCTAGGTATTAATTCCACTAGCAGTAATAAAATATTGTATGACCATATTATGGTTAATATGTTTTTTTCTCGCTGGATGTCACAAAAATTTTCAAACGCTCAATAGGACGCTTGTGTCGTTTAGTCCTTGGAAATGTTTGATAAATACGTTTAAAAAGCTTTAAAAGCCGTTTTTAAAATTGTAACAGTTGACGAATTAAGGATCTATGCATAATGATCCTGAAAATAAACAGCTATCGATTATGGACGTGTTTTAAGATGAACCAATTCCAACAAAAGTCCCATGCGCTCGGAACACTTTGAAACTTACGGTCTCCTATTTTTCCGAAATATCCGATTATATGACAGAAACGTCACTAGAGAAATTTAGAATGGTTAATTCTTAATAGTAAACAGCCACTTTTTTTCCAAAAGTCTTCAGTTTAATAAGGGAAACTGGCCAGCATAGTCGAATCGCCATTCGTGACGAAAATGTGAGCTTATACACGTCTCGTCAAACAACTGACTATTTGAACACTCAAAATATGAAATAAACAGGTTCAACGCTACAAAATTCTTGCTTGGAATCTAAACACTTCTTCACTTTGGTACCCATTATATTAAAATTAAATGCGTGAACAGTGATTTATGTAGCCAGAAGCAACTGTCGGTGCGGTCAAAAACCATGCTTTGGAGGTGCCTCAAGCTGAGTGGAAAAAATGCTATGAAAAGTGTTTCGGACACATTAAAAAGTACATAAATCATGAAAAACAATACCAATAAACGCAATCAATACCATTTTAATAATATGCTACTTTGTTTTCATAGTTAGGCTCACAACTTAAATAGTGTCCCACGTATATGCCGCCAGCCATACCTACCATATTAGAAATGTTAATTTTTTAAATTTAAATTTTTAATTGAGTAATATATAATAATCAAACAACAAACTCGTAAATTGCATTCTTATTTAAATTATTTACGGAAAACATGATTTTAGGTTTAACTTGCTACAATATCATCAAGAGATACTAATTAATAAATACTAAATAAACAGATAAAGGGGACGGCATTAAGGCACTCAGAATTCTCAGAAACCATTGATTTCGTGTTTGTTTGTAATAGTATTAAATGTATGAAAGCTGGAAATATAGGTTTTTTGAATAGATTCAGTTCGTTCTTAAACATATTATTGATGCCGTTTGCTAGGTCTCATGAAGCACTTTTTCAGTAAGTAACCATTTGTTCGACATCTTGTATACCTACTATAAGAAATATTCGAGTGAGATCACTTATCGATTATTTTCTTCATCCTTATTTGTATAACATTTAATTAAAATACACTAAGGCACCACCTAACTTTGACCCTAACTGACAATAACCGGTGTTTTATGTTAGACAGATTTTTGAAATCCAAAATTTTGATGACAATGTTAAAGTAAGACGGTGCAACACGGCCTAAAAAATGTATCGTAGACAGTACTTTTTATTTTCTTCATAAATCTTTCTTTTCTTTGTAAAGCTATCTACAAGCTTATATTTTCTTTGACATCTGGAGTTGTAAAATCTTGCAACTTAAAATTTACTTACTTCCCGTTTTCCCATTGAGCTGAAATTTTGCATGTCTACACAGGCATGCAAAATTTCGTTTCATTTCGCACTAAATAATTTAATTTACACGTGTTTTCATGCGATGGCCAAGTCAATATATTTATGTAAAACGTTAATGATTTCCTGGACTGGACTTGGTATTACATGGATCTCACAACTTTTTACCGTAGAACAACTGAGTAGTGAGACTTGGTTTTTTGACAAGTATTGTTTTTGATGGGTTTGTATTACAGAACGCATGTGTACCTAATGGGATAACTGTTTAAAAACACGATAATATAAATTTTGCTCTATGGATAAAAATCTTAAAGTTACCTCTGATTTTTTAGCATTATACGACCGTGGTTTGTAATAATAAATTCTATCAAATTACAATGATATCAGTATTTACCTCTTTGATTTCCTGACTTGTTTAGATTTACAAAAACTAAATATTTATTATTAACTTTTAGATAATAATGTTAATGGCGCTTACGATGTTTAGTTACGAGCTCTTTGTTGGACACAGATATTATAGATAACGTTTAAAAAATGGCACGCTCGTTTTCATACATTTCATCCTATTTATTTAACCTATCCATATTTATGTGCGGAAACGTCACAAAATCAGAATAAATTTTAATTTTTCCATCCCGCATCCTAAAAACTAAAAAGTCTAAAGTAAAATTTAAATAGTAAATATTTTTCATAAACAAGCTTTTGATGCTGTAAAAAGAATAAAATAAAACATAAATTCTTTCAAACCAATCAACTTATTACTTTACTCAATTTAAAGATTAAAAACTTGTCGCGGGATTTACTAGTGTAAAAAATACATTAATTACGTAACTTGATTTTGCTAAAAGTCTAATCTGAGAAAAAATCAAATAGGTAAATTATATTATATTATTTATTTATTATTATGTATGATGTACTGTCTTAGGTACGATACAACTACGGATTAAGATCGTTTAGTCGACGCAGCGTTGAAATTGTACAGATAAATGCAGTTTGCGCACTCACTACGCGACGTCAAGCAATAAAAACCTAAAATTCGAACGCCAACTTTTTGCTACAACGCTCTTAAAGATATTGGTGATTTTAGCCAGTGTTGGATGTTACCTGTTATCCTCCCCTCCGGTGCTTTCACAGCGACTAGAGTGCGGCGAGGCGGCGTCGGGCGGCGGCGGCCGCTTCTCCGCCGACAGCGACAGCTCGCCCGAGTCCAGGCTGCGGGACTTGCCGCATCTGAACAAACAAGCTTATACTTGCTAGCTGAGGAACCTTAGCTAAAAGTGTTAAGGCGCATTTTTGTTTAGCCAAAATGCCCTCGCCACATCTGAATAAATGAGTTTACATTTGCTAGCTGCAGAACCTTTATACTTGCTAGCTGAAGAACTTCAGCTAAAAGTGGTAAGGCACATTTTTGTTTAGCCAAAATGTCCTCGCCGCATCTGAGACGAAACAAATGAATTTTCACTTGCTAGCTGCAGAACCTTAGCCAAAGGTGTTAAAGTGTATTTTTGTTTAGCTGAAATGCCCTCGCCGCATTTGAGACGAAACAAATGAACTTACACTTGCTAGCCGAAGAACCTTAGCTAAGAGTGTTAAGGCGCATTATTGTTTAGCCAAAATGCCCTCGCAGCATCTGCGCCGAAACAAATGAACTGACACTTGATAGCTGCAGGACCTTAGCTATAAGTGTTAAGGCACATTTTTGTCTAGCCAAAATTAACTGCATTTTACATGAAATCAAAATGGAATAATTAGCAACATTACTTATTTTTCGGAAAAAGACTGGTAGTTAAAGGGCAAGTTCTCTGTAAGATTTGATCAAATCTGAACCTTATGTACACGTATTACGGACCTGTTTAGCGGAGGGGCTCGCTGATTGTCTGGGGGGCGGGGCCGGCGCGGGCGCCGCGGCCGCTTGTTGGTCACTAGTACCAGCCGCCGCGGTGGCTCTCCCCGTAATGCCGTCAGGCTCACCTAAGGTAAAAGGTAATCAGTTACTCGCTCAATTTCTACAAAAAAACCTAAGGAATATATGGCAGTGATTGAGCAATCACAAATTCATTAGGTGTACTGCTTTTAGGTTCAATTAGCAAGCGATATACAAGCTAAAAAAACTTACCTGTGCATGCAACGGGTCTACCATATCCAGGTACCCCACGCTGCAACTGCGCGTCATAGTGTCATACAGCGGTACATTGGCGCACACCGGACTAATGGGCACCACGGTAGTAGTCCTCTGCACGCGACTCTCCCTGCCTCTTTCCGTTAGATTCGCTATCACCGTCTCCACCGGTGTCTCCTCATCAATAAACTTCAAATCCTCCCCTTTCTGCAGCCCTCTCAACGTCTCAGCACGCCGAGTCATCGCATCTGGGTGAACCTCGTGCTCGTAATTCTTATTACACAAACTCTTCAGAATCCTCGTGTTCATATCATAAGCGGACTCGCCGCGGCTGCAAATATTCTTGCGAAGCTTCGACAGGCAGTTGTCGGTGACGTGGGTGTCGCACTTCTTGATCGTCACCTGTCTGCTCGGTTCTAAGCTCAAATTGAGACTGAAAGATTGCTGTTCGATATTGGACAGATTGGTTTTCAACGGGACGCTATCCCCGCGGACGCTATAGTCGGCTCGGCCGCCGCAGAAGTCGCCTCGACCTCCGCAAGTCACGGTCTGAGGGGACGGCCTTTCGAATATTATGTCAGTGGGTGCCACCGCGTTTTTCGGCGACTGCAAAGTGGGCACGGAACTCTCGCATCTGAGAGGTGAAATGGCATGTCGATTTGGCACGCTAGCCGAGTTATTTACCCTCCTCTCTGAAGCTTGGGCCGTATGCCTTAACGGAGGCGTAGCGTTATAAACGCTTTCCGATACGTTATTCATCGTATCATTTGTATCGATGTATGGAAACTCTTCGTACGATTCAGCTCTAGCTAGAGAAGGGCTGTTCGTATTGTTATTGTTTGTGTTGTAAGATTCGCTTTGGTTGATGTTGTTTGAATTGTTAATCCTCTCGTTAAGGGTGAGCTTTCTACGGATATTATTATTAGTGTGTGAAGGGGAGTTATTGGAATCGTTGGATTGGAAAACTTCTTCCTCGTCTTCGGAGAATATATTCGGGTTGAAATTAGGATCGGGTCCTACGGGATAGTCATCCCTAAGTTCAGTTATCATGAGAGTCATCTGCCTCGGTTGGAGGTGGAGCAGTGACGTCTTATAAGTTACTTGTCCTAAGTTGGCCGGAACGTTTTTGGCTAGTCCATGCATTTTGAACTTTGTTCCCCATATGTTAGAGGTCACTTCCACTAATCTCACATCCTGAAGAAAAAATATACATTTTATTGTATTTCATTAAGCAAAACTTATGTCACTAAACCATCTGCTATATGGTTTCGCGGTGTAACATACCTCAGGCAAAGAGTCGATGTATGCGAGTTCGTCAGGCGTATCGTCCTTGTCACTCGTATTGCGGATCTTACGTCTCTCTCTTGCTCGCCGCCTTCTTTGCAAACGTGGCGATCCAGAACATCCTGCGATAGAAATTTTGGATGATTAATTTTAGTGTTGATGTTGTGTTTCATTTACGCACCGTTTCACAGCTACACATCTTCGTACCGCTAATTTTCCTAGCATATAGTGGAAAATCCCACACCTTTTCAAAGCTTCGTTACATATTCTCGCTCCACTCATCTTCGTAGTACATCATTGATGTAAACGCAGCCTTAGACTCAGAATGGAGCTGTTATCAGTCCTGGCTGCTGGTACTGGTGCTGCTACAAATAACAATTGACTGTCTCATCTTCCTCTCGCTCTGTTTCTGATGATGACGAATGGCTGAGCGCGAACAGCGACGATGACCAGCGCGGGATTTGGGGATTGCGGGAGGTAGGCGCAGCGCCGGCGCTACTGAAACTGCCACCGCTGCTGCTGATGCTACAAATAACATCTAACTCGTACACTCACTGCTGCCACCCGTCGCACAGTCGCGACAGCAATATAATTACGCGCGAGCGATAAGGATGGGTAGCTTGGGGTCATTGGACAAAATTCTACGTGCTTAGCGACCAGACTATAACTGACTTACCTTCCTCTCGTTCTGTATCAGAAGATGAAGTATAAGTAAGCGTGGGCGGCGGCGGGGGCCGGCGAGGGGTGCGGCGTTGGCGCTGCTGGAGCTGACGCCGCTGCTGGTGCTGCTGCAAGTTACAGCTGGCTGTCTCACCTTGTCCCTTTCGTTTCTGATGATGATAGTGATGACGTATGCGTGCGGCAGCGGGGGCACTGCTGGAGCTACCGGCACTGCAGCTGCTGCCGGCGCTGCTGGTGCTGCTACAAGTTACAGCTGAGTGTCTCGCCTTCTCGCTTTGTTTCTGATGACGTATGCGTGAGCGGCGGCGGGAGCACTGCTGGAGCTACTGCTACAAGTGACAGCTGTCTCACCTTCCTCGCGCTCGGTGTCAGAAGACGACGTGTGAGTAAGCGTGGGCGTGGCGAGAACAAGTCGCCGGCGCTGCTGGTGCTGCTACAAGTTACAGCTGACTGTCTCGCCTTCTCGCTTTGCTTCTGATGACGTATGCGTGAGCCTGAACGGCGGCGGGGGCACTGCTGGAGTTACCACTGCTGCTGCTACTGCTACAAGCGATAAATGTCTCACCTTCCTCTCGCTCGGTGTCTGAAGATAACTTGTGTGTTAGCGAAGGCTTGGGAGGCGGCGAGAGCCAACGCCGGGCGCAGGGAATAGGCACGGGGCCGGCGCCGCTGGAACTGCTGCTGTTACAAGTAGCAGTTGGTTTACCTTCCTCTCGCTCGGTGTCAGAAGACGACGTATGCGTCAGAGTAGGCGTGGGCGGCGGCGGGGGCCGGCGCGGGGTGCGCGGCGTGCGCGGGCGCGGCTCGGGCGCGGCGCCGGCGCTGCTGGAGCTACTAGAAGATAGCTGGCTGTCTCACCTTTTCGCTTTGTTTCTGATGATGATGACGTATGCGTGAGCGAGAGCGGCGGCAGGGGCACTGCTAGAGCTACCGGCACTGCAGCTGTTGCCGGCGCTGCTGGTGCTGCTACAAGTTATAGCTGGCTGTCTCACCTTCTCGCTTTGTTTCTGATGATGATGGTGATGAGGGGGCACTGCTGGAGCTACCGACGCTCTTGCTTATACTGCTACAAGTGACAGCTGTCTCACCTTCCTCTCGCTCGGTGTCAGACGACGAAGTATGAGTGAGCGTGGGCGTGGGCGGCGGCGGGGCTCGGGCGCGGCGCCGGCGCTGCTGGAGCTACTACAAGATAGCTGACTGTCTCACCTTCTCGCTTTGCTTCTGATGACGTATGCGTTAGCCTGAGCGGCGGCGGGAGCTATCGGCGCTGCTGCTTATACTGTTACAAGCGATAGATGTCTCACCTTCCTCTCGTTCATCGTGCGTGAGCGTGATCGGCGGCAGGGGCACTGCTGGAGCTACCGGCACTGCAGCTGCTGCCGACGCTGCTGGTGCTGCTGCAAGATAGCTGGCTGTCTCGCCTTCTCGCTTTTTTTCTGATGACGTATGCGTGAGCGGCGGCGGGGGCACTGCTGGAGCTACTACTACAAATGACAGCTGTCTCACCTTCCTCTCGCTCAGTGTCAGACGACGACGTATGCGTCAGAGTAGGCGTGGGCGGCGGCGGGGGCCGGCGCGGGGTGCGCGGCGTGCGCGGTCGCGGCGAGGACACGGCGCCGGCGCTGCTGCTGCTGCCGCCGCTGCTGGTGCTGCTGCTGTTGCTGCTCTCGCGCGCCACGCCGCCGATCACTACCGACTCTGGAATTGGAAGGTGTTTGTGAGAACGGTTCTTTTGTATGCGACATGTCTTGACAGTCTCATATTCCTGAGTTTTATGGTCACATATTACGTAATCGAAATTTTACAAGATTCAAATTGTATAAGCAACTTGTAAGCAACAACAAATTAGCATCAACGCGGTGCCGGCGCTACTGTATTTGGCAACGCTACTGCTTCTACAAATAACAGTTGACGATCCTCGACGTTCGATGTCTGACGACGACGTATGCGTGAGCGTCAGCGGCAGCGAGGACCAGCTGCTGCTGGTCACATCTGGCTCACCTTCAGCCTTCACCTTCACCGAAAGAAAAGAAGCTCAGCTTAACATGACGTTAGCTGAGCTTCTTTTCTTTCGGTGTCAGACAATGACGAGAGCGTGAGCGGGAGCCAGAGTGAAGCGCGGGAGAAGCGTGGGCACGATTATGGCGCGACGCCGGGGCTGCTGGATTTGGCAACGCTGCTGCTGGTACAAATAACAGCTAACTGTCTCACTTTCCTCCCGCTCGGTGTATAATGATGACGTATGCGTGAGCGTGAGCATGAATGAGGCGAGGACAGCGCGGGGCGCGGGAGATACACGGGTGAGGTTACGGCGCGGCACTGGCGCTGCTGCTGCTACTGCTACAGCTAAGTTACAGCGGGCTTACCTTCAGCCTGCGGGTCGAAGATGACAAAATCGGGTCGGATCTTGCTGGTGCGGCGGCCCTTGAGCAGCGGCACGAGCCCGCCCAGGTGCTCCAGGTACAGCGTGTAGGCGCCCGCCTCCTCGTCGTCGTGAAAGAGCGGACGTGGGACGAAACGACACAGTTCAATTTACTCTAGTACATTACGCTGCGCAACCGTGTGTTATATGGCCATCCGTGTCTTGAACATACATAGCTGCTGTTAACTTTTAGCTCACCTTCCTCTCGCTCAGTGTCAGATGACGTGTGCGTGAGGAGGGACGAGAGATGAGCGCGGGGAGTATTACGGCGCGACGCCAGGGCTGCTGGATTTGGCAACGCTGCTTCTGCTACAAATAACAGCTGACTGTCTCACTTTCCTCTCGCTCGGTGTCTGATGATGACGTATGCGTGAGCGTGAGCATGAATGAGGCGAGGACAGCGCGGGGCGCGGGAGATACACGGGTGAGGTTACGGCGCGGCACTGGCGCTGCTCCTGTTGCTATTGCTGCTGCTGCTGCTGTAATTTACGGGCTGCATTTACAATTAGCCGACTCACCTTCAGCCTGCGGGTCGAAGATAACGAACTCGGGTCGGATCTTGCTGGTGCGGCGGCCCTTGAGCAGCGGCACGAGCCCGCCCAGGTGCTCCAGGTACAGCGTGTAGGCGCCCGCCTCCTCGTCGTCGTGCCGCAGCATGGTGCAGTGCAGGCGCCCGCCGCCGGATGGCGGGCGGGACACGAAGCGGCGGAGCTCGCTTGATTCTGGCACGTTGCACTAAGCGGCAATGAATGGGTTAACATTAGAATTATGTACACCTAACTAAGAGAACGCTCATTCGACAAGCATACTACGTAATGTAAGTTGTAGATCCAATTGAACTCCAGAGTGGTATTCAATGTTCATTGATGAGGGTAATCGCACTCTAAGGCGATTATCACACTGCGCCGCGCTCCGCGTGATTTCATATAAAAATTCCCGCGCGCAGATGAGTTGTCAGTGTGTTGTGCCGCGCGTGTTTTCTATACAAACTGAGGTACTTGCATACAATGATTAAATCTGTCGTCTCTCGTAGCGCGGCGCAGTGTGATAATCGCCTAAATTCACAATGGATGGAGCCCAAGTGAAGCCACCTGTGGTAACACACATTGCGGGAATGTGTAGACACTAAGAAATTGTATATTTCAAACAATTATATAAAAGCTTCAATCGTATTTGCAACGTTCTAATTTTTATAGATCTATCTTTTACCATACTCTATTAAAGTTTGACTAGGAATGAAAGGATGATATGAAAATCGAATATGATTGTTCGATTATAATATGATTGTAGGTACATCTACTTCTTACCCGTATGGTATGCGCGAAGAGGTTATGCAGCGCCGGCTGCAGACGCGGCGGGATGGGCAGGCGTGCTGCCAGCCGCGGATGCCGCAGCGCCTGCGCCGCCCGCACGCGCGCCAGCAGCTGTAGCGGCGCCACCACCCGCCATACCCGCGCCGTGCATACAGCGCCGCCTACCCCCACGAAGAGGCGCCGCGCTGCGTGGCCCCACGTCAGTGCCGTCACCCGCGCCTGTGATAAAACACAGTTTTTTTAAAGATTATTAGCAATTTGTATTGCACAAATTACTAATGGTCCCGTTAGCCCCTCGTGTTAAGCTAAATAAGCTTGTCTTACGAGTGGGCTCACCACAATAGTCGGGCGATGGGATTCGAACCCGCGTTCTTCGGATCTCGAATCGGCCAGTCCGACCACTTCATCGTATTACAAAACACGTGGCTAAAGACTGCCGCCCAGCCGAGTGCCCCCACGTCAGGCCGTTAAGCGTGCCTATAAGACTGAATAGTGAGGCTAGCTGCAGCGGCGCCACCACAAGCTATACCCGCGCCGTGCACACAGCGCCGCCTACACCCACGAAGAGGCGCCGCGCTGCGTGGCCCCACGTTAGTGCCGTCACCCGCGCCTATGATTAAACACGCACACAATTTGTATTGCGCAAATTACTAATAGTCCCGTTAGCCCCTCGTGTTAAGCTAAATAAGCTTGTGTCACGAGTGGGCTCACCACAATAGTGAAGCGGCGGTGGGATTCGAACCCGCGTTCCTCGGATCTCGAGTCAGCCAGTCCGACCACTTCACAGTATTACAAAACATGCGAGTGCACACCGCGCATGACCAAAGACAGCCGCCCAGCCGAGTGCCCTCATGTCAGGCCGTTAAGCGTGCCTACAAGAGTGAATAGTGAGGCTAGCTGCAGCGGCGCCACTACCCGCCATAACCGCGCCGTGCACACAGCGCCACCTACCCCCACGAACAGGCGCCGCGCTGCGTGGCCCCACGTTAGTGCCGTCACCCGCGCCTGTGATAAAACACAGTTTTTTTTAAAGATTATTAGCAATTTGTATTGCACAAATTACTAATGGTCCCGTTAGCCCCTCGTGTTAAGCTAAATAAGCTTGTCTTACGAGTGGGCTCACAACATTAGTGAAGCGACGTGGGTGAACCCGCGTTCCTCGGATCTCGAGTCGGCCTCGGCCAGTAGGACCACTTCAGTTTTAAAAAACATGCGAGTGCACACCGCGCTTGGCTAAAGACAGCCGCCTAGGCCGTTACGCGTCATACGCGTGCCTACAAGAGTGAATAGTGAGGCTAGCTGCAGCGGCGCCACTACCCACCATACCCGCGCCGTGCACACTGCGCCGCCTACCCCCACGAAGAGGCGCCGCGCTGCGTGGCCCCACGTTAGAGCTGTCACCCGCGCCTGCAAGAACAACCTTGATCAAGGGGCTCAGGTGACCTATCAGAGTATACGACACGTACGGGTTCCCCTACGATCACGTCAGCACCGCCGCGAAGAAATCCAGCAAAGACAATGACGATGGACAATGATGGAGGATGACAACTACACGTGGCTGCGAGCGCTACGAAAAAAAAACGTCGTAGCAATCGTAACGCTTACGAAATTCTCTATGCTACGAGAGTGGTGCGTATGAAGTTTTCTTTATTTAATCAGCAGCTGCTTTTTGCAACTCGCTTCGGAACGTCTATTAACATTAAGACTGCTCGGTGTTGTCATGTAATGAAACGCTGAAAACTGTAGATAATAATATTGTCGATTTCATGAACATCTTCTAAATGGAACTAAAAATCGTAAAAGCCTAAAATATTACTTACACGAAAAGTTTATAATTGTGGCCAATATGGCCATTGTAAAATTTATATATGGTTACTGGTTAGATATAATGTACTCACCTGCGTATATGGTATGGGCACGGTGTAAATGAGCGCGCCCGTGTCCGAGTAGAACTTCACCACGTTGTTATACGGCGGCGCGTCGGGCAGCTCGTCCGACTCTGCGAACACACAACTTCGCTCAAGCCCAAACTTCGCTACACCGTAATAGCGGCCCCCGGGTTTTAAAACTTGCGCCGCAACTACAAGTCCGAACAATGTGGCTTCAACGTCCCCTGATAAACTAACTTATAAAACGGTCTATTCAACATGCACTTGCCCACTCCATTCAACTTCGCTGAGAATTTATGCAAAAGTTAACAGCGAGAGTTAATGCAATATTTCATGAAATTACAATGAAGAGATCGGTCAGAAATAACTAACTATAAGTAGTTCTACGATCCAACTTCATTCTACGGGCTGAAAGTCGTTTATTATTCATTGATTTTAGTTCCCCAAAAATGTTGCCGAAGGCAACATGATCTCAGCGCAGCTGTAATAACGTTGGTCCCAAACATAAACAAAGCCTTCTTGTAACGCTATGTAAATCAGCCCAATAACGAACGGTTTTATGCGAGCGAGACTGTTCAATCCTATTTGTTTAATGTTAAATATTAATGGATCCCTTTGTACTACCGAGTCCAAACAAAACAAGTGCAGAGTGAAAGTTTTATGAGCGGTCGGCCATTTACAATCGCACACGTATCCCATAAAAAAGCACTATTTTTCAGGCATGAAATACGAAATCCCGCAAGCTATAAACTTGATAGTATTCACGTAAATTGAAAAGCTCACCCGTCTCGTATCGTTTATCAAACAGTTGGAATGGAGCTTTCAAAGCATTCATTTTTCACATTTATAAGTACAGAAGAGGGTGTGGATGCCCTCGTCCTTTGTAACGTTGTTGGTGGCGGCATTCAGGCTCAATCCTTTTATACAGTGGAGTAATAGTCGTAGGTAAATGACGACACGCCTATTATACCCGCAGATTCCTTTTTATTCAATAACAGACTCGTCCCATTTGTAAAGTTTGAATTCAATTCATTTTTACTGAAACGTGTTTTTTTACGTAAACATTATTTAAATGCCCTCTAGACATTTTGTTTCAAATTCAAGTTAATCTTTACGTTCCAAGTTCGGGCAACAAGCAACTTTTAACAGTTATTGTTGGAAGTTTAAAAATATGTAACTTACAATCTACAAAGTTGTAATACTTAATTTCAACTTGGACACCTACAAAGTGTGAGAGGGGCTAATAAACAAACAACGTGAACTTACAAAGTAAATAGCATTGGGTGACATTGGATCTGAACTCGAGGTTAGATACTTTCGTTTATTAGTGAGAGTTGGTCATTGTACTTAGGTAGGTACTCACTCCTGATTAGAAGGTCCTGTATTTCCAGGAGCATCGTATTTGGTGATCCCTTTTGTTACATCAGTTAGGTATCGGTTTAGGGTTTAATGGTATTGGATTGGTAAATACTATTCTTATATTATATACCTAACTGAAAACTGATATAATGGGAACCCAATAACATCAATCCCTTCTTCCTAGCAACTTTGTACCTGCCTAACGGCATAGCAACCAAACCTTAATTACTCGAGGTCTTCATTGTTTCACATTTACAATACACGTGTCAAACATTAATTAAAATGAAGATCAGCTAAGAGAAGTTAAAAAAAACTAGCTAGCTGACATAGTACATCTGCGATGATTATGACGCTTCATCGCAATAGCCTGTAGGACGCGATCTTATCGCGGCAATTTAGCAATTTTAGACGACAACTATGTGGGTTTATCTGTAGCTACGATAAATACATCGATACTTGACCGCCAATAAAAACCCAACCGGTCAAGACCTTCAAGTAGTAGCCGGATCTACGTCAAGCTGTAGATCCTGGCTACACAGGAGTTGCTACGAGTTGCACCGTTTATCGTAACTACAAGTATCCCTGCTTGTAAACTTACCTGGCAACAAAGTCCCAGCCACCGCGAGCAGTTCCCTGGAATTTGCCCACTCCATAGCCAGTGTAGGGCCCCGCATGCCCGTGCGCACCCGGGCCGGGCTGACGTCATCGTGTCCCCGGAGCAGCACGATCTCCCCGTTGCCCAGGGCGACGGCCAGCACATGTCCCCCGTTATTCTCCCCGTTCTCCTCCCCTTCCTCCATTTTAAACTTCTCGCACGACCACGCCATTGATGTTATCCCCCCTTCGGCTACTAGCTGAACCTGTATTGAGGAGTTAGAAATGTAACCATTTGAAGGCAAAATAATTCAAGGAGCTTTATATAATATTCCAAAACATACATTATCACAATAGGTTAACTCCTATTATGATAATGTATGTTTTGGTTCGTTCGTTCGTTAAATATATTCACAAACATACACAGAACTTCTCAATTCGTGTGAATTTATTCTACATAGAAAATGTTCCTACTACTCGTACATATTAATCTTTTTGCCGAATTTAATCTTAATAAAGGCTTGTTAATATTCATCGTCACTTCTATTTTGAGTTGATAAATAATTCTAACACAAAATCTCGAGTTTGATATTTTTCATTTGTTCAGGGCCTCTTGGAAGGCGGGCTCTTAGGCACGTCTCCAGCCAAGTTATAAAAAGACGCTCAAGTACGCCAACATTGGATCCATTGCCAACTTACATTGTGCGAGAACGGAATCGATATGAGAGCAATAAAAATATCTCGGATCTTACTTTTCGTAACATATGTGTCAGGGCCGCCGACGTCTTAGAGTTTACTTAAATACGTCTGCAAAGTTTCTAAAAAAAAGACAGTTTAAACCGACGTCTACCGCTCTCTTGTAGATTTAGCTAGTTTACTTGGAGTCGCATGCAGCATTCAAATACCTTTGTTGACATAGGGTTGTTAATCGAATGTGGCTGCACTTGCGACAGGCAACTCTGTACATATTGACGCTATCGGAAAGTGTGTGCCCTCAATTCAGTATAATGATCTACGAACTCCATCCACCACGCTTTACAGTTGGTTTAGTAGCAGTCAAGACAAACATTCTACGAATACACACGTTTATCACAAACATTTTAAGTTGAGCTTCGTTTCATAATGAACCTTAACCCCAAGCCATAGAGCACCAACCTGCGACACCATAGCACCATGAACGTTCATGACGACGAGCTGCGCGGACGCCGAGCCCAGGTACACCTGGTTGTCGTCCGGCGTCCAGCAGCCGCACGTGATGCGCGTCCAACTAAGCTTCGTTGGATAATGAACCTTAACTCCCAAGCCATAGAGCACCAACCTGCGACACCATAGCGCCGTGCACATCCATGACGACGAGTTGCGCAGACGCCGTGCCCAAGTACACCTGGTTGTCGTCCGGTGTCCAGCAACCGCACGTGATGCGTGCGTCTAGTGATAGCATCGACGACCAGTAGCGCTGGCCGGCCACTGAACCCACCAGGACGAAGCCATCCTGGGAACAAAATATAGGTAATTTAGAAGACCTTCACTACATCGTCGGCCAGCACCTGGATGCAGGCAGCGCAGGACCTGTCACTGTGGGAATACGTGGCCGCGCCCTTCGTTAACCATTGGGTGAATTTCGATTAAAACAAACGAACTGTAGACAAGTATGTGTCTGTGTATACTTAGCAGATGAAATGGAATTTAAATACAAAATATAGATTTAGATTATAGGTCCGGTCCACCTGCAAAATGAAGGGGTCATGACATCAATGGCGTGATTTTGAAGAAAGGAGCTGCGTTACTTAATTGTTTCTGTTTTGTCAACAACAAAGAAATAGTTGTTCAAAACAATTATCACAAAGACACAGTTCATTTGCAAGAGATTACTTAATTCCAGGTCACAATAGTCTAAGTAAGAGCAAGTTCGACGTCTGCGCTCATTCGCCCATGGCGGGAAGTCGGCATTCCTAAACAAAGGCCTGCGCCCGCCCGATAGTACTGTAAATCTGCCGACCCGGTCCCTAATTGTGGTGACCAAGAAACAGGAAATTCCAGGATCGTCTTGGAATTTTAAGGATTCCTAGAATCAAGAGAGATCTAAACTAGTAAAGCATAGTTCACTTAACCCGCAATTTTAAGATTCCAGCAATGTCCAAACTAGGACTAGTTCAATCAAATATACACAATATTTTTCAGCATACATTTCAATAGTCCCTCTCATAAGACGTGTATGACATAAGTAGGTATATCCAGAAACAATTAATCTTCAATTTCATCTTTATATTGTGTTAGTAAAGCTGTGAAACCCTTGTGTCGAGCGAGACTCTTGAGACCATAATATAAAAGAGTCCTAGAACACAAAGTTTGACATTATGGTTACCCTACCTCTAATACTAAGACCTGGATTAACTAAGCGACCGAATTACATAATGTTAACTTCTGTCTACAGCCCCGTTCAGGGCTCTGCTCAGGCACATAAACTACAGTAATTATTAACTCGCGCCTGATTTACTGGGTCTTACAAGTTTTTCATTAACTTCTCGTGGAAAGAAAATTGTAGTTACAAAGTATTTTCTCCTTAAAGATTGCTTTACTTGTTTTAATGTAATTCTTGAATGAAATACTGACGCCACCAGCTGGAATTTGCTATAATTCAGCGGATAAATTAAAATAGTTTTTGTGCCGTGATCAATCAAACCTCTGATAGCGGATCATAAATTTAAATCCGTCTGAACTGAAGATTCCATTCCGTCCGAGCGTTCTGTCCGTCATGTTATTATAATAAATTGTTTGGGCCCGATCGCTAATAAATTCATCGAGCCCGACATATTTCAGCGGCGGAGACTGAAAATGTTCGCATTCCTATTTAATACCATGCAAATTACTCCCTATATTGCCAGTTTAAGCCTTCCAAGCAGAGTAATAATATTCTACTGTCAACAGGGCTTTTTCAATATAACGTGTCAATAATCCTTCACTCCCGTCTTCACTTTGAAGGTAAGTCGGGGATTTGTGTCGATTTATCTTTAACACATAGATTTGAATTCTTTGTTGGTTATTTTATTAAAGTACATTACGCCTCTCCCACTTCTGTTGCGAGAAGGTCAAAAACCTTTATTAATTAAATTCCATTCAAAATTCTTCATTCTGTAGTTTTTTCGTGAATGACTAACACTTATCGGCCTCATACATTCACCTATGCTTACAAACTTTTGCGTTTTTAATATTGATATACCTAATTCATAATAAGCAATTATTGTGCCAAATTATTAATAAATCAGTATCACAAAAGACATGTTTATGCACGATGTGTCTTCAAATGACTTGAAATAGACTTGTGCGTGAGAGCTTAACCACATAATGTTTTATGCAAATAGAGATTTTATCAAAGCTCTTGCTATAAATCACGGGGGTGTGAAAAGAAGGATGGTAAATATGTCAGTCAAATCTAAAACACATTTATGATTGGATTCATTACTACCAGGCAACAAAACAACACATTATAATTAATATTGTTCACTAAGGTGAACTGACCTATTACCACTAGGCACCACAAGGTAAGCCTAGTGGTGCCTAATGGTAATAGGTACAGTCAGCGTCAAATACATAGTTCGTGACACCCAAAGTAGCCAAAAAGTTCGCAACACGTCATTGTTTTTGGTCAATTACTTACGAACTATTTGACGCTGACTGTACGATATTGTACAACAATTTTTATCAAGTACTAGCTGACCCGGCGAACTTCGTACCGCCTTAGCGTAGAGATTTTCTTTATATTTTTTTCCGTAAAAACCTTGTACAGAGTATTAGAAAACTACAAAAAAAAAACAGCCAAATCGGTCAAGCCGTTTTTATGTTATGTCGTGACAACGGAAAACGGGTTTCATTTTTATATATATAGATTCTGAATTTTCCTATCTACTGTACCTACATGGGTTTATTCAATTTGATTTCAATCACGGACACGTGGCCAGCCCACGCAGCTCAGAACATTAGCGTGACCTTTAAGACATTGTTCGCAATAAACCCACATCGTACACAAATACAAAGCGTAAAAGACACCACGATTTATAATTTAGACGTGGATCGCTGGAAGCTACTAATCTATTCCAGTCTAGACAACCTACACAGTTTTAAATTAATATTGAAATTCGAAATTAGATTTTACTGAAATTCGTAATTCTTTGTTAAAATTTTCTTCAAAATATTTAGTTACTGAACTTGACAACATAAACCTAAACCAATAATTTCAAAGCACTTTAACAAAGTAAAATTTTGATTTGTATCTTTAGCGAAAAGTGAAATCATAGGTTATTTTTACCATGCAATATGAGAGCCCTTTCATTAATCAGAATCCTAATATTATAAATACTAAAATTATGTGGTTGAATGTTTGTTATTCTTTCACGCAAAAAGTTACTGAACGAATTTTTATGAAACTACAATATTATTGTTTATACGTCAGAATAACATTATTTATAACGATCTCTGAGGAGCTAAATTTCACGCGATTGAAGCCGTGGGCAAAAGCTAGTAAGAAATAGTAGAGCAGACGCAAATTTTCCTTCCAAATTATCGCACACGGCTGCTGGCAAGTGTCACGTACCTACCCGCCTGGAATCACATTATAGCAAATTACTGAACACTTTGATCTGTCTAGCTCTAGTTACGTGGGGCTCACTGTTCGCTAACTGCCATTAGGTATTATACATGTATGGCGTAAGGCTTAGGTAGTTAGGTACCTAGTACTACAAAATATAAGTTACATTTCGTGGAAGGTAACCTAAAATCGTTATCGAATTACCTACACTTCCAACTGATGGCTCTAGCTGGAGGTATAATAAATATATTCGTTCGTAGTATGGGAAGCACGAGCTTTTAAACCTGATCTCAATGAGGTTTATTTAATATACTCGTATGTCTGCATATTCATAATATGAAGTATGTATTTAAGAATGTTTAAATTTGTTATTTAAACCGTTAGAATAACCTTTGCTTAGTTTGTAGCTGAATCGCACTTATTTTGGAAGGATAAAATTATACCTGAGTATCTACTTAACATTAAGATATTGTATTTCTTGTGTTTATTTGTTTTGTTTGTTTGACACATCTCTATCTATCTAACTACATTTAATACCAATGTTTTAATTTCAGTACTATTTCAATTAACTAATGTTAAACTTTTAATTAATATCCAAAATCGCAGCCAGCCAAATGCGTGTAACATTTCAAAACGTTTGTCCATCACGTTTCCACATCACAAACTAGCCGAGTTTGATAACGCGCGTTAATCATCCGCACGGCCGCCGGCATGTGTCACGTCCAGGCTGGAATCACACAGAAGCCCTTTTAGCAAATTGCTCTGACACTTTGACCCGTCTGGCTTTGTCACGTGGAGGCTTCGCAATATTGCGATAGGTATCTATGATAGGTAAGTGGAAGCAGTAATTGATATTACAGAGTGTTGGTAAGTTATGGCTCTCTAGCGATTTGGTGTAGAAATGCATATCTCTTTGCTAAAGATTCACTAATCTCTACTAGTCATTTGTTAGTTTAAATTGAAGGGAATTCAATCTTTAGTAACACAGGTTATTAATTTAATATTCTGGTTAATTACATTGAAGACCCAAGACGTCTTAACTTTTCCCAAGACGAACTAAGGTACTCGTACATACGCTAGGTACCTATATGCCGGCTTCACGAGTTACATAGGCGGGAACGAAGCTACTAACGAGCGATGTGGATAGTCCCGTTATCGTTTCGTTTAAACACATCTGGCTAAGTCAATTCAATCCATCATCATACTCATAAAAAGGTTTTACAACCGTTTTTATCTCTTTGTCTCGACAATTTTATGACGTTGCAATCTCCTCTGGAAAATCTTAGCTTTTAGGGAGAGAAAGGTGTAAAACATGTCGCGCATTCACGAGGCAACACGTTTTCCATCTTACAAAATGTTCATAACTTTTATGAAACCGCATACAAGCTACGGTGCTCGTGCGTTTATTAAGCGCGGCATCATGGCTGCTTAAACATGTCACGTACTTACCGTACCCGACTAGAAAGAAAAACATTAAAGCCTTTTGAGGAATCGGGACTCCCCCGGTTTTAACTCGCCCAGCTTAAGTCACGGGGCCGGCTCACGCTAAGTGATCAGTATGATACATATACGTAAATTGATCACGTGTGATCCAGACATACGTCTGGAGGCCTGTCAGAGTATATTCAATTTGCCTTTGTGCCAGAATAAAGCGAGAATCTATTTAAAGTTACCGTTATTGTTGCCATCGGAAAACTGTTCTTGATAAACGCGGTCGATTCGGAGAAGCTACGACTTCAGAAGAGGTCGGTAAACACGTCAAAGGCTGAAATTTCAAGCAATTGAAATTTGCTCAACCGAGCCAGACCACTGGAGCGGTGATTATACAATTTTAATTATTGTGATAGTGGCGTTTGTAGTCGTAATAAATAACAAGGTATGTATTCCAGCAGACAAAATAGAAAACCCTCGTTTCTGAATTCAGTGATCATAATTAAGGTAAACTGAATAGTAAACGATTTCGGCTGGTTTACGCTTTTTAAATCAACATCAGATATACTAAATTACTTCGTGTCTAGCTATGATAAAATTTCATCAATCATTTCAAAAGCTCTTTACTCTAAAACTGAAGTACTGAAATATAAAACAGAATCTCTAGCTCAGGCAGCCCTATTCACACACCGTGAAAGAGGATTAGAGAGAATTTATTCAACACCTAAAACCACGCGAACGGTGGCGCGGTATAAAATGAATTTGCATAAAAGCTTTAAACGTAGCGTATGCGCAGATATGTACTCTATTACGATATTACAAAACACTAGCTCTACCCGTAGCTCGCCCGGCACCTAACAGTTACTGGCGAAATGAAAACTCGTTTAATTTCCAACGTTGAAAATTACTTAAAGTAGTTGAAACAGTGGTTTTGCGACTTCTGGCTTGATAACGACAGGAAATAAATGGAATTTTCCGTTAAGCCTTCAGACATTGAAAGTAACCAGTTTCAATTTAAACGTTGGATTCCAAGGTTAATTGTGCTAAATTACTCGTGTAGATTGTCTTGTTAATCTAATTTATACCGCTCGAACAATGCCTGCAAATAACAAATTGCCTATTTTCAGCACCAATTAGAAGTGTGCTTAATCCAACGCGAATTTCAAATATCCAATCCAATTATACGTGTTGCCCGCGAATATTTATCCGGTTTGTTGGCGGTGCACTAGAAATAGATTAGTATCGATCATCGTCCAATTTGGTCAACAGTTCCTCGACCTGTCGGTAGACACACGCCACTCGGCGGTGATGGATGGCACCGACTAGCACACATTGCGGTTGAGTATTTCACGTTTGATTGCTGGCATTATTTCAGCAGAGAACAAGAATTCTCGCTACGATAACAGCCGCTGTATGTCCCAAAAATATTTTATCTCTATCACTTTCACGAACATCTCTTGGTGAGCAACAGAGAAAAATAGATTGAAAGCAGTTTGCTGAGTACACACAGATTTATTTTAGAAACTCTGAGGCAGATTGTTGGTTTCTGTTGGGAGGAAATTGGCAATAAAACCGGGGGAGTGCCGGACTTGGGCTTGCTTCCGTCCGATTTACTTCTCACGTCTACTCTCCTGACTTTGTGAAGTAACTTATGGTATACATACATATACCTTGAGTCTTCCTACCTAATGTACAGAATAGATGTCAGGTAGTTTAATACATAGCCACTATACAGTCGAAT